TTTTTTATACCCTGAACCCATTTTCAATGGGAAATCAGAATATAATGGTTTTGTTGAAATGTATGTAACAGGCAGAAGGAGGCGTGGCAGACCCCACAAAGTATATATATTCTTGATCAGGGCGACGAGCTGAGTTGATTTGGCCCTGTCCGTCTGTCTGTCCGTCTGTCCGTCTGTCCGTCTGTCCGTCCGTCCGTCTGTCCGTCTGTCCGTATGTATGAACGCGTCGATTTCAGAAGATATAAGAGCTAGAGACTTCAAATTTTTTTTAAAATGTCCGTAATTACAGCGCGCATATCAAGTTTATCATTAAAAATCGATAACTCATCCCGATCTTTTTTATCGATAAAAAACCTTATCGAAAACCAGTTATAAAATTATATCTTCTACACCTTTATTGCTAGAGTCTCCAAATTTTTAATGTATGCTTATATGCAATTTATACAATTTCGGTTTTTGTTAAAATTTACCCCCCACCTCTAAATTCACCCCCTCATCCTCACTTTTGTAAAAAGCGTATTTCAAATACTAGAGACTTGTGCTTTGGCAAATACATGCATATCTATGTTGTTATCATAATCTAAAGGTTTCATGAAGATCGTACGTCCACAAAAAAAGTTATTAAGCAATTAAGTTCTCATAGTAAGCGCTCACTGCCGCCCATGCGTGTTAATGCGTGGTTGCTTGTGTGTGTATGTGTTTGTGTATGTGTGTGTCTGTGCGTGCGTGCGTGTGTGTGTGTGTGTGTGTGTGTGCGTGTTTCTTGTGTAAGCTGAAAGACGCGAAAAATTATTGAAATAGCTATTACTCCAAGGGTTCAGGGGATCTCGTAGTCGAGTAGTCTCGACTAGAGCTTTCTTACTTGTTTATTATTGTTTTTTTTAACTCCTTTTATTTATTTATTTATTTTTTTTTTTTTTTTTTATTATTATTATTACTTTTTTATTTTTTAATATTATTTTAAGAATTATTTTAATTATGTTAGATATAGTTAATAACCTACATTTTAATATTTTATTTTTTTAAGTTTTCTTACTAACACTTTCTTTTCATAGCTTCAATAGTATCACTGACCATATTTGGCTGTGAGACGTGGGCATAGCCGGCCGGACTGGCAAATAAAATACCCCCATCGGGTTGGTGTTACTATTGAAATTATATCGTGTACTTTGTATAGGCTTTTTTAAATTAAAATTGACTCTCGTTTTTGTCAATAGCTTTAAAGAAATAAATAAATAAATGAAAAATATACTAATACACAGTCTCTAGCTCTCACTTATTGGCTGTAACGTATATTAATTTGATATACATAAATGTGAAAATTATATGGAAACAATATATGTATGACAAACATACAATCATCTTAAAATGAATGTACATATTTCAAATAAATATAATAAAATACACTTTAAGTATTTATAACGGTAAAATGAAAAAGAATTTAATATTTACAATACACTTCACTACTTTATCCATCAACAAAAATAAATACCCTTTTAAGAGTATATTTGCATTGTACAAATGTGTGTTTGCATATATCGCTCGACAAATACTACCGTTGAATATACGACGTTCAAACATTACGTCTGCGCATATACATGCATACATGTATGTGTGTACATATATATGTACATATAATATAATAGGTATGAATATAATTACATATATATAAAAGTTTATTAATATTAGGGTAAAGGAAAATTTCTTGAATATTCGGATTTAAGCTTAAATAATACCTTAGGCCTAAATAAAGCCTGCAATGTTCGTTTTGATATTCGTATGTACGTAAAAAGAAACCCAACTCACGGCTTAAAAGTATTTTTGTTCAATCACTAACCATTCAATGCTCGTACATACTGTATGTCCATTAATTGTTTGCAAAACAAAAAAAGTACAAATTTAACTTTAACATCATATTTAATTAGAAACGGCACTTTTTCTTATTTTATTTATTATTTTAAAGAGAAGGAAAGAAGAAAGTAAAAAAAAAATGTTACAAATGTATCGCCAACCCATCCGTCCGTATGTCAGTGCGAACGCAATTTTTTTCGGCAAAATTGATGCAATAGATGTACATATGTATGTATGTACTTTAAATTTGAACACATAGTTGTGTCACATAGTCGTGCCAGACCGCTGAAATGTTGCACGTGCGCTAATGCTAACATTTTTTTTGAAGACTAATGGAAAATGAAATGTCTATGCCCACTAGGGGCGTTTCAAATCAGATCTGAAGATATAGTGGTTTTTCGACATCACTTTGATATTTTAGGCACTATTGACGCTAGAAACCTGAAATTTGGTATATATCCTCGGGTAGACCACCCAAGTCCAAAAGTCTAGGCCCACAGGGAGCGTAGCAAAAGTAGTTTATATCTCCTAAAGTTTAAGAGTTATTGGTAACCTCCTCAATTGATGACCCAAAATGAATTGTTACGCCCTTTTAGAGGCTAGTTATGGCTTGTTCTCAGAACTCGCCAAAAATTATCTACAACCCCTATGAGCGTGGCAAATCGGGTAAAACTGCATTTTCTACTGTATTAGAGCTAGAAACTCATAGCTTAGCGACTAAGTGGCTGATAGCATCCTCTATTAATTTGCACAAAAAGTGTATATAAATACATACATACATACATATATACTAATTGAGGGTGTGGCAAATCAGAAAAATGGGATGTGAATGAAAATTCTGCAGTTGGTAACGCCCGATTGCAACGCTCTTACTTGATTTATAAAAAATAAAAAAAAACGCTAATAAACAAAAAAGTGAATGAGTGCGTGATAGGCGAAAAATGCCAAAGTGTAAAGGCGTCGAATCTCTAGTTTATGCATGCATTTTCTACTTTGTAGTTGTTTGGCTTGATAAAATCAGTGCGCTGCTCAAACATACATACATGATCACATTTTCATTTTTAAAGCGCTATTTTTGCGTTACTCTCTCTCACTTACTCTTTCTGTTTCTCTATGCTCTTTCCCTATATGTGCGCACAAGCAATTTCGCAGAAAAATTGAAATCTGTTCGCGCCAACCATGCACACACACTTACAGTCTCGTGCTATATGTATGATCATTTTTGTGTCTGTATGCGAACTTATCAACTCATGTACTCACACACTCACACTCCCACTCCTTAAATTTTTTTTTGCTCGGCTGAATTTTCTGGCATGAGTCATATATATATATATAAATACATACATATATACATAAATACACACATATGTATATTGCGAACTGTTAATTCGAACACTGTTTTTCTGGAATTCACGCAGCTCTCTAGTACATACATACATAGATATGTATTTTGTATGTATTACAAAAAAAAATGACATGGTGCGCTTTTACAAGTTGGAATTAAGAAAATTATATATTTTGAAACAAATAAAATAAACTTAAATTGTGCGCTCTGTAGTCAAGCCCGACACTTCTCCTTCGAGCGTCGCGCGGCTAGTCACAACGCCACTTCACTTTTCGAAAGTCTGATGACAGAACTGAAATACATATGTACATGTAGATGTATGTAGATTCACTACTGCAGTGCCATCTAACAAATGATGCGCGCTATATACATATACGGATATTAAAAAACAAGTAAGAAAGCTCTAGTCGAGACTGCTCGACTACGAGATCCCCTGGACCCTTCGAACAATAGCTATTTTAATCATTTTTCGCGTCTTTCTGCTTACACAAGAAACGCGCACACACACACACACACACACACACACATACACATACACAAACACATACATACACAAGAACCCACGCATAAACACGCATGGGCTGCAGTGTGCTCTTACTATGAGAACTTAATTGCTTAATAACTTTTTATAACAATGAAATGCGTGCTCTTATAAAGCACAAGTCTATAGTATTTGAAATACGCCTTTTACAAATATGTGGGTGAGGGGGTGGATATAAGGGTGGGGGGTAAATTTTAATAAAAACTGAAATTGTATAAAATGCATATAAGTATACATTCAAAATTTGGACACTCTAGCTTCAAAAATGTAGGAGATATAATTTAATAACTGATTTTCGATAAGGTTTTTTATCGTTAAACAAATAAGAAGACTCTAGTCGAGACTGCTCGACTAGGAGATACCCCGAACCCTCTAATCTGATATTCTAATCACTCTGCACTTATTTTCGGCGCATATACATACACACGCACGTATTAGAACGCGCTCTGCTAACTGCGCAGTAAACGCAGTTTGGGCAACATTATAAGAATTTATTTGTTGAATAATTTAATTTCTAGACGTACAATCAATAATGAAATTTTCAGAGCATAATTATATGGTGAAAATGTATGTACATTCCAAAGCACAAGTCCCTAGTGTTTGAAATACGCCTTTTACAAATGTGAGGGTGAGGGGATGAATTAGGGGTGGGGCGTAAATTTTGGCAAAAACCGAAATTGTATAAAATGCATAAAAGTATACATAAAGAGACTCTAGCTTTCCCATTGAAAATGGGTTCAGGGTATAAAAAAGAACGCGATGAGTTATCAATTTTTAGTGATAAACTCGATATCCGCGCTGAAAATACGGAAATTAAAAAAAAAAAATTGAAGTCTCTAGATCTTATATTTTCTGAAGTCGACGCGTTCATATATACGGACAGACGAACGGACAGATTCCGAGCAGAGCAGTCGCCCTGATCAAGAATATATACACTTTGTGGGGCTTGACACGCCTCCTTCTGCCTGTTATATACATTTCAACAAAACCAATATACCCTGATTTCCCATTTTCAATGGGTTCAGGGTATAACATAGGATTGAACTACTTTGCCTTGTCATCTGGTAGGTAAAATAATATATGTATCTTCATAACAGAGCGTCATTTGACAAAACTACAGTTAAAAGTTGACAGCGTTGGGGCTGTGAATGATTATTTGGTAACGCCCGACTGCAACGTTCTTAGATGTTTTTAATTAGTTCAGGGGATAGCAAATTTATTTTAAAGTCTATTAAACGAAAATAAATTTTATAAAGAACAAACCTGTGCTTGTGTGAAAAGAACTCGTCTTTTTCGTCTTTGTGCTAATGGAAACTGAAGAGGTTTTGTATCACTTACGCTGCATGCAGCTAACCCAGTCATGTTTCCCATGTGACCCATTGATCCACCGGCTGAGGAGCTCATAAGACGTGAAACTGTAATAAAATATTAAAACAATTATTTATTTTTAATAATATTAAACTACAATACAAATTTGATTTTGATGACGAACAAAAAGTTTTCTATATTATATATTTCTATTATATATTTATTTTCTATATTATATTTACTCGGATTTTGTATTGAGCGTTTATTTTAAACGGTCAGCTTCTACAATATTTGGTCTATAGCACCTTTTCATTATATTATATCAGGAATGTAAACAAATATGGTATTTGGCTTAGAAACGTCATATGCGTAAAAGTGAAAATCATCTTTTCATTTCTTAAGTAAACAATGACAACATTATAATTTAAAATCAATTATTCTCACGCAAACCTTTTTCATTTTTAGAAAAATTTACAGTGATTGGGTGACTCAGCATAATTGCCATTTTAAATATCTGTGCTGGTAAAGTAAAGCAAACAGTTTGAAGTGCTTAGCATGAACATTTTTCCGTTTTTTTTTCTGTTTATATTTCGAAGTGCTCACAACAATTTCAATACTATATACATACATATATTCACATATTTGCGTATATCAACTAAGAAATCTCTACTTGGAGATAGCAAACAAGGAGAGACTCAGAAAATGCCTGATTATCTTTATCAGGCATATTTTATAACACGCATATTTCGATTAAAATTGCGATCCCATAAATAATAGAAAACGCGTACACTATGCCTGTTATTTGTTTATTGGTCAAATATTATGTTTAAGCCTCAACTACCGGATTTTTAATCTTATTAATAAAAAAAAAAAAACAAAAATAAAGCTCTAGTCGAGACTGCCCGACTACGAGATCCCCTGAACCCTTCGAGCAACTGATATTTCAATAATTATTTGCATATGCACACAAACACGCACACACACAGACATACGTACGCACGCATAAACACGCATTGGCTGAAGTGTTGGCTTACTATAGGAACTTAATTGCTTAATAACTTTTTTCTTCTGGATGGACTAACTTCATGAAACTTTCAGATTAAGAATATAACATAGATATACATGTATTTGCCAAAGCACAAGTCCCTAGTATTTGAAATACGCCTTTTACAAATGTGAAGGTGAGGGGTGGATTAGAGGTGGGGGTAAATCTTGATAAAAACAGAAATAGTATAAAATGCATATATGTAAGTATACATTAAAAGTTTTGAGACTCTAGCTTTAAAGATGTAGGAAATATAAATTTATTACTGATTTTCGATAATGTTTTTAATCGATAGCAAAATAACGGGGCAATTTATCGATATATAAAACAAAAGTCGATATGCGCGATATGCTATATCTTCTGAGATCGACGCGTTCAAACATACGAACAGACGGACGGACGGACAGACGGACGGACAGACTATGAATGTATTGGGAAGTGCACTTGTAGCATCTAGTCGAGCACTCTCGACTAGAGCTTTTTTACTTGTTATACCCTGAACCCATTTTCGCGATTTACACCTGTTCTTCTGTCCGCGTATCGTACTCAGGTACTTAGCATAGCACACGCAGAACAAGTTTTTTTCCGAAAAAGCCTAATCCACCGTTATCCTTCTAAATTTGAAAAATTTACACTTGTTCTATGGCAAATACAAAAATTTGCATTTTTTTACTTCGTTCTTAAAGTTTTACGAAGGTAGTCAATCTGCATTGCGTGTATATGCTTTTATTGGTTTTTATGTCAGCGACACGAAATATAAGCTGCTGTAAGAGTTCAAGTATTAGCTGTCTCGGCACGTGCTTTCTCAGTTGTTAATTATATTTCTCATCCTATTTTTTTTTCGATAATAATAAATATTTTTACTTTATTATTTTAAGTGTAACTAAATATTTTTCGAGCCAAAGATTAAATAAAATATCTCTAGCTCTAAATGTATTTAAATTACGTGCGTAAATTCATGTAATGAAAATTTGAGCTGAGCCAAATTTAAAACAAGTCAGGAAACTCTAGTCGAGACTCCTCGATTACGAGATCATTGAAATACGTGAACTTCCAAGTCTCTCAACCCAGGTCTCTAGTTCTTAAAAGATAAGTCTTTTGCAAATTTAGTGATGAGGGGGTGGATATACATAGGTGGTGGTATATTAACAAAAATAGAAATTTTATAAAATACATATAAATCTACATTTAGTTATAAAGGTGGAGAAAATATTATTTTATAACTATATTTCAATTACGGTATTAGTTATCGATTTATGCAAAAATGTGCGGGCCTAAAAAAACAAAATCAAGTTTCAAGTCTATAGCCCTCATATTTTCTGAGTTAAACGCGTTCAAGCATACGGATAGATGGACAGACAGACACGCCTCCCTATGCCTATATTATACCCTGGTTTCCGATTTTTAATGGGTAAGAAAGCTCTAGTCGAGACTGCTCGACAACTAGATCCTCTAAAGCCTTCGAGCAACTGTGAATAAACTATGAAACTTTCAGACGAATGGAGTTGCCCTAGATCGAATTTCTAGTATTTTAAATACGCATTTTACACGTTTAGTGGTTAGGGTGTGGCTATAAGGGTGGGGGTGAGTAATAATAACAAGTATGTATATTTAAAAATTGGCAGCATATATGTATAAGGTTATTACTGATATTGTTTTTAATCAATAACAAAATAACGGGACAAGTTTTCGATTTTTTGAGAAAAACTCGATATGCGCACGGACCAAGGAAAAAAATCCTCTAGCTCTTATGTCGTCTGAGATCGTCGCATTCAAATATCCGGACAGGCGGACGGGCGGAAAGACGGGCAAATAATTGCCAGACTCCAATGTGCGTGTTGTGCATGTGTTTTTGTATATGGGCATAAAAAAAGTGTAGACTAATTTGAATATCAGAGGAGGAGAAGTAAGAGTACTCTTGTTTATTTCAATTATTACCGGCTGAGATTCAGGAACTATAGTCTACATTCTACATATTATACTTTATTTTATACTTTTATAGAAAGCATATTTACATATCAATCTATAAACAGTATTCAAATTATTAATTTGTTTTGTTTCTTATATTACGTACTTGCAAATCTAGGGTCATTTGCCGTTGATCCATACCACGAAGCCGAGCCTCGCATATCAGTGTAATGTCCTGCCAATGATAAATTATCTGTCGGTCCACAATAGCTTTGAACTCCTGGACTATGATACAGTGATCCCATAGCGTACGGGTTCGCCATTGTTGAAGTACTTACTGTTCCTGGCGAATTAATACTACTGCCACTAGAATTAGAGCTGAAAAGAATACAATTAATTAATTAATGTCTTAATAATAATTTATGTCTTAATTCCTTTTTTTCGTACTTTATCTATGTCCATAAAATTTAAAAGAAACAAATAAGAAAGCTATAGTCGAGACTGCTCGAATACGGAATTCCTTGAACCTTTCTTTCTGTTTACACAAGAAACACACAGACAGATACTATGGAAACTTAATTGTTTAATAACTTTTCTTGTCGATAGACTATCATAAAACTTTCAGATTGTGATTATAACCCTGAAGTGCGCTCATGTGCTAAAGCACAAGTCTCTAATATTTTTAATACGCCTTTTACAAATATGTTGGTAAAGAGGTGAATTTAAGGGTGGGTGGTAAATTACAGCAAAAATCGAAGCTCTATTAAATATATTTGAAATTTAGAATTTATAAACTCGTGTTGATAGTTTTCCCGAAACGGCATGCCATTAAAAAAAGGAAGAAAATTTGTTAGCTATGAAAGATTCATTATCTACCATACCTTGTTGGCGTTAGGTTGTTATCCCGAATATATATTCCAAATTTCAAAACTCTCCAATCAACAATGGGGGCGTGGCGCTAAAATCTTAATACTTTATTACAGAGCAAGCATACCTATTTTAATTTGAAATCACTTTAGACAGAACGATGACAGCAAGATGAGTACAATTATTAAACTGCTAGAGACTTGAAATTAGTCCGTAGGTATTGCAGATGCAAGTAGAATATGTTTAAATTCTCGAATACCGTTTCAATTTTATTCATTAGAAGTCGAGACTGCCCGACTGTGAGATCCCCTGAACCCTTCGAGCAACTGAATTTTCATAATATTAATAATTATTCGTATATGCACACACACGCACAGTCATAGCGCACACATGCATAAACACGCATTGGTTGCAGTGGTGGCTAACTATTAATTGTTTAATAACTTTTCTTGTGGATGTACTTTCTTCATGAAACTTTCAGATTATAAATATAACTTGTATATGCATGTATTGGCCAAAGCACAAGTCCCTAGTATTTGAAATACGCCTTTTCAAATGTAAGGGTGAGGGGGTGAATTAGAATTTTGACAAAAATCGAAATTCCATAAAGTACTTATAAATCTACATTAACAATTTGGTCACTCTAGCTTCAAAGATGTAGGAAATATAAATTTATTACTGGGTTTCGATAATGTTTTTAATCGATAACAAAATAACGGGACAAGTTATCGATATTTAAAGCAAAACTCGATATGTATGCCTGTTACATACATTTTAAAAAAAACTTATACCCTGATTTCCCATTTTCAATGGGTTCAGGGTATAATAAAGCTCATTTGAAATGATTAAATTATTGCTTAATGACAAATATTTGATAGGATATGTTGTAAATTTCATTGAAATCTTTAAGTAAAAGAGAAGGTATTAAGAAAATTGGATAAAACATGTGGCGCAGAGAAGGACTAAGCGTTGTTTGTCCACGTACAGACATATGTACATATATATGTAGATGTGTATATTTTATATTATATATATTAACCATGCCGAAAAGCTGAGTTCACGCCCTTTCCTCGAAATTAATTTTGAGGAAAGGGCGTGAACTCATGTACACATATACATATGTATATAAACATACTAATTTTGAATAAACCAAGCCAATACTTAGGGTTACTTATTTCTGATGATTTGATAGCCCAAAAATGAGTATATCAGAATTTAAGTTTTCTTTCTTAAATTATTATTAATGTTATGACAACAGTGGACTTATTTCAAAATATTTTTAGGTAAATTCTGCGTAGAGCTGATACTCTAATAACTCTACATATATGTATGCATAACAGAAAATATATTTGAATACGTAAAAATGGTCTTGGCTTATTGTGTGCTTTATGAAGCGGCATGGGCAGCACATTGGCTTACTACCATAAGTTAATTCTCAAAATTGTGTACAGAGTAATATTACTATCCATAAGTGGGTGATTGCCAAATCGCAAATACCCAAAGCGGGGGTATATCCAAAATTCGAAATATTCCAAATACATTCAGTGTAGAATTCTACACAGATTTTATATTATTCATCCTGAGCTTAAATTATCAAATCAAATGATCGGATGACATATTATAAAGTAGATAACGTATGAAGGGTCCGCCACACACTGAACTGAACATGTACTAGGAAAGCCTCACAAGACCCCGCACAGTAAACTAAAAATTTCCATATTATGCGGTTTTAATGTTTTGAAGAACTGAAATTTCAATAATTCTTGTTTTATTTTCGTATATACAGACAAAATGTATCTGAATATATAGCGTTGCCTAATATTCGTCTATATTTTAAGCACTTTAGTGCCAGCTCAAAATCAATAAGATACGGTAGATATAAATGCCAAAAAGTATTATGTAAAGTTTTAGATTTTGATACTCAAAATTTATAAACTGAATTTCTGTTAGCATCTTCTATTGATTTACATTAAAGAAATATATTTTAATCAATAAGAACCTGACATCTCGGAATGAGTGAATTCAAGACGGTACATCCCGACGGCACTGTTCTTGATTGTTATATTTTACACCAATCCATTCTTCTCCATAGTTATACATATATACATACATACATATGTAATAAAACCAAAAATATGTTTTTTTTCCTCTCGTCAGCTTCAAAAATTAATTATATATCATAATACCACGCAAAACTACTATAATTAATAATTTTTAATTAATTCGTAGAGAAGTGTTTGTATGTCATGTATGTTGACACAAAATTTTTTCTATATTTTTGGCTTACCGAAATGGGGAGGGCGGGTTTCCGTTAATTTCCAATTTGCGGTATGATTCCTCTATTGGACTCAAAATGTCAGTCACACTAAACGGTGTTGAGTGGTTATTGTTGAATAGAGTATTTTGATGTTGGCTGTGCAAGTTCTGAAGATGTTGAATACTAGACAGGCTGTGGTGGTGATGTGCAACCGCGACAGCGGCTGCAGGAGAAACCGAGTTTTGTGGTGAGGTGTCGTTTGTTGTAGGCTTAGGGAGTGGTTCCAATTGATGCTGATGAGAAGCCGTTGCTTGAATCAGTATTTCTTTTTGAGATAAACTCATAACCAAATCTGATTCATGCCCTAAACTAGTTTCCTCTTCGTCAGGTATCGCTCGAAAGCCTCGCCGCTCATTAAATTGATCAATTATATTTGACGCGGACATACGAAAAACTTTGGTTCATTCGTCACTTTCAAGTTATTGCATCTACAAAAATACAAATGAAAATAATATGTAGCCCTGACTATTATTTTTCATATAATTAATTATTCTTTTATTGTAATTTATAGCATAACAAAGTCGAGCAAGCTAGCGGATGGACACGGAAAAATTATCATAAATATATAAACTAAAGTTAATATTCCACTTTCTTTCATATAATAAATACATCCAAACTTCAAAAAAATAAAAATAAAATAAAATAAAAAAATAAATAAAAATAAAAATAAAAACATTTTTCGAACAGAAAGTATTTCATAATTGGCAAAAATACCCGCCTCCATGCAAAAGCTATCCAACATTTCAGTTCCAATAAAGAAGTATATGTATATACGTTGCCTTCGGTATCTGCGTAGCAAGAAGACTGTGTCATTGTGCGCGCATGTGTGTATAGGCATGTATGCATGTTGATATATATGAAACAAAGAAGATCGTATCTGCTAGTCGCGACTAGAGCACTAACAAAAGTATCTACATATATAAATATATAGATATATATTTATATAATTAATACGTATGAAGTTATGTATATAGCAACTCAAACATTCAATATATTTAAGTCAAAATATGTTGAATTTTGGACTTTGCTATTTACATATGTATATTTCAGGTTTATAAACAAGTAAAAAGGCTCCTGTCGAGACTGCTCGAGTAGGAGATACCCTGAACACTCCAAGCTGATATTCTAATTATTCTGCTTTTCTTTTATGTACACATGCATACACAGGCACGTATATCATGCGCTCTGCTGATTGCGCAGTTGCGCTGCAGCCCAAAATCTTTGTATTCATCAAATGTATATACACAGTAAATTTGAAGTCTCGAGGTTTAAAAGTGTTCAAATTAGGCTGAAAAAATCAATTTTTCGATTATTATCGATAAAAAAGTTATCGAATGAGTTATCGAAAAAATATTATAAACTTGTACTGCGTATGGTACACACGAGTATGCGGACGGACAGGGCTATATCGATTCAGCTCGTCGTGCTGATCAACAATATATATAAATTATGGCTGAAAAAATCAATTTTTCGATTATTCTCGATAAAAAAGTTATCGAATGAGTTATCGAAAAAATATTATAAACTTGTACTGCGTATGGTACACACGAGTATGCGGACGGACAGGGCTATATCGATTCAGCTCGTCGTGCTGATCAACAATATATATAAATTATGGGGTCTGCGATGATTCCTTATGCCCGTTACATACTTTTTCACAAAACCATTATACCTTGATTTCCCATTTTCAATGGGTTCAGGGTATAAAAAGAGATGCAGCGGATTTATAAAGTAGGCAATAAATATGTGTATATTTTGCTTGGAATTATATATTAACAAAATCCAGGATAACTAATAATCTAGAGCTCCTCTGATTTTATTTTACCCTGAACATATTGATAATGGGAAATGAGAGTAATATGGTTTTAATGAAATGTATGTAACAAGCAGAAAAAGGCTTAGGGCGACAAACTGAGTCGATTTAGCCCTGCCCGTCTGTCCATCCATCCATCTGTCCGTATGTTTGAACGTGTCGATCTCAGAAGATATAAGAGCAAGAAACTAGAAATTTTGTATCCTAGGTCGGTGTATACCACATAGTCCATCCTTAAAAAGGTTATTAAACAGTTAAGTTCGCGTCGTGTTTGTGTGTGTGTGTGCATGTGCGAATAATTATTGAAATATCAGCTGCTCGAAGGGTTCAAGAGATCTCGTAGTCTATATAACACCCTGAACCTATTGAAAATGGAAAATCAAGGGACAATGGTTTTGTTGAAATGTATGTAACAGACAATATATATATATATATATATATATATATATATATATATATATATATTCTAGATCAAGACGACGAGCTGACTCGATATAGCCCTGTCCGTCCGTCCGTAATAACGCCTAGATCTCAGAAGTTATAAGAGCTAGAGACTTGAAATTGGTAATGATGCCATACGCAGTACAAGTGTATTATTTTCGATAACTCATCCGATAACTTTTTTATCGAGAATAACCTAAATTTTGAATTGTTTTTGTTTTCGGCTTAGAGACTTCAGATTTACTGCGTATATATGTACATTTGATGATTACAAAGATTTTGTACCACGCCCCCTTCGCCACCAATTCGTATTTCAAGTACTAGAGTACTTGTGCTTTGGAATGTACACACATTTTAACCATGTGATCACTCTCTGAACGTTTCATTATGATTGTCCATCTACAAAAGAAATTATTCAACAAATAATTTCTCATAATATTTCTCACACTGCAGTGCAGCCCAAGCGCTGCCGCTGCTAACTTCGCAGTCAGCAGAGCGCGTGATTATACGTGCCTGTGGATGCGTGTACATGCATGTGTGCATAAAAGAAGTGCAGAATGTTTAGAATATCAGCTTAAAGGGTTCAGGATATCTCCTAGTCGAGCAGTCTCAACTAGAGTTATAGAAAAAATACTAGACGGACAAGACTATATCGTCTCAGCTCATCGTGCTATATATACTTTAAGGGGTCTGCGATGATTCCTTCTGCCTGATACATACTTTTAACAAAACCATTACACCCTGACTTCCCATTTTCAATGGGTTCAGGGTATAAAAATGGTCTTGGCTTATTGTGCGTTTTAGGAAGCTGCATGGGCAGCACATTGGCTTACTACGAGGAGTTAATTGTATTTAATTATAATTGTAGGTAAATATTACTATACAGAAGTGGGTAATTGCCAAAGCAATCATAATTCTTGGTTTCAAAAGAAGCAATAGATGGCTCGGTTGACAGAGCTAAATCGACTCAGCTCGTCGGGAATATATCCAATTTATGGGGTCTGCTACGCATCCTTCTGCCGGTTAGAGACATTTTTCTATATTCAATGGGCTCTGGGTATAAATACAAAACACTAGGGATTGGAAAAAAAGTTAAGTTATACTTTTTACGGCATATCAATGTATGCACGGTTATTCTGACTGATTAGAAAAACTGTCTCTATATACTATATATAGAGACAGAGAGAGAGAGAGAGAGAGAGAGAGAGAGAGAGAGAGAACATACCTACATTTAAAATCATACTAAATGCGACTCTTTTTTAGTCCTTTACTTAGTCAGTAATTGATCAACATAAGGATAACCAAGTATTTAGAAAAGTGTTCAATTTTTTATTGCTTAACAATGCCAACCCATATTTTTCTTACATTATTCATTATTGTTCACTTATTTTGAATATTCCTTGAAGCATAATTATAATTTCACAGCTCAAATTAGTATATGAATAAACTTTTTGTAATGATAATGCTATTATATAGTATGATTGATATTTTAGCACCAGTATTGGCATAGCTCTAATCAATTGCTTAGGCTCATTATATAATTTTGATTAAGCACTAGAATATGTAACACTGAAAATTTGTATTTTTGCTGCACAATATATGTATAGTATGTAAATTTAAAGACATATAAGCCCACGTCAGTGAATTTATTATGAATATCCACTCGACACGATTCCGTCAAATGAAATAAGAGGTCTGAACAGTACTGACGAGTACTCCTCAGATGGCTTCTGGATAGCCCTCGAATAAGTTTTTCCTATTAACGATAACTCTGTACTGTTGGTACTGGCTACACACTTCGTTGAACAAAACAAACATCAAAATATTGCTTATTCATTTTAATGATACTAACCAATAAGAGAACAGGGAAACCATCCGTGGGCTGGAATCTGAATTCAGAGCTAACTGGCTTGTGACAGCTTCAAATAGTGCCTGCCCACTTTTAAGTATACATATTTCACTCGCTCTTTGAAATTCATATATGAATTCGTATTGGTTAAAAAGAGATGACTGTTGTTATACCAATATTCTTTGCATCGCCACTCCTTTTATGTACGTTCACCAATCGAAAATGACTATGTTTCAACCCTCATGCGGCTTGAGGTCGCATTTTTGGAATTAGTTTAGGAATGTTAAATGCATTCTTAAATTGTTAAATTTCCCCTTACCGTGTATCTAACAATAGAATTGCTCGCTAAGCTTGTATTTTCACACAACGCAACAATGCTTCCACATTTAAGAAGTACCAACTCGAAGTCGTGTAATAATTTGGGACTGGTTTGTGTGGACCGTGCTTATATAATGGCACTGATATAAAAAATTAGAGTATCTTATATCAAATTGCTATATAGCAAAAGTGCTCAATGTTGAATTTAAATAACAATACTCAATAAATTATAAATTAAGAGCTAAGTTTTTCACTAAATTAAATCATTATATTTAGTATTTCCATTTTTAATTTATTGTAATTAAAATGCATACCATACACCTAAATAATTTTGTCATAATTAATTAATTTTTGGTATTTTTGAAAAAAAATAAAAAAAAAACCAAAAAAAAGGGTAACTTTAGGAACGCAATCTGGAAATGGGATGTGAGCAAAACAAAAAAAAAAAAAAAAAAAAAAAAAAAAAAAAAAAACAAATTGTATTTCCCCCTAAATTTATAGTAGTCACAATTTATTGAAAATAATGGGCACACTCGATTTCTTCAGTCTGAAAAAAAGTTTAAAATACGAAAGGTTTTTATTATTGTTATCCTTCCTACAGATGATAAAAGTAAAAAAAATTTATCAATATCATATGTAGGTGGTTAGAAATATTCATTGCTCAAGTGATGAACGCAGAATTGCTAAAAACCTTAGAAGGAATGGCAAATCTTTGCGAAACTGATGAAAAGATCTCTTAATTTTGGGAAAAATGCTTTAAGGGTGCACAATAAAATGGAAACACGTGGACGTCCATTAAAAACCACACTAGAACTGCACCATCGCATTATATGAATTGCAAAATCCGAGCCGTTCAATCTCGTTGCGATTAATTTGACTTTGCATTGTTTTTGAATTTCCAGCCGCTACACTGACTTTTCATTGCTATATGACGTCATAACAATAATGTAATTTCGTTTTAATTACTTTTGTTCGAAACGACGCGGTGGTGCTGTAGGCAGAAGCGCCGGCGATTTAAGTTATTTTGATAAACATGCTATTTGGCTTGGGTGCGAGTTCAAATCCCGCGGAAAACTCTTTTTTGTAAATTGCAAATTTTTGTTTTTTCAGATTCTTTTATAATATCTTAATATCTATTAAGCTTATTTGTACAAATTTACAAATACATAAATAGATGGCTGACGCACATACTTGCCGCGATTCGGGCATTATAAATGCCTATTGCCACGCCCTTAGTGACCGTAGATTCAGATCTTAGATCGAGCAACCGTTAACCTAAATGCAAAATTTCAAAAAATGTGAAAGTTGTAGGGTATTTTTCGATTTGCCACGCCCCTAAAGAGGCGTAAAAATTATTTTTGAACCATCGATAGAGGAGGCTCTTAAAATGTAGGAGATATAAATTTTTGCGTGTTGCCACGTCCCCTATGGGCGGACACACATATTTCTACCATAGCTCGTTTGACTTTGGTGGTCAGCCCGCATATATATACCAAATTTCAGGTTTCTAGCATCAACAGTGCCTAAAATATAGCAGAATTACAAAAATCACTATATCTTCAGGTCCGATTTGCCACGCCCCTAGTAGGCGTATATATAATTTTTTTACCCATCTTTATAAAGCTCTCGTGCAAAATTTCAGCATTCTAGATTTACAACTTTACAGTTTTATCTGATTTGCCACGCCCCCAATGGGCGGAGATATATCCGCCATAGCTCGTGATCTTTGGTGGTCGACGCAAACCTACATACTAAAATTCAGCTTTCTAGCTCTTCAACTAACATGATTTCTGATATACCGGAAAATGCATTTTCCGATTTGCCACGCCCCTAGTGGAAATTTTAACACTTTATAAATCGGAGATATACACGAGTATGTGCTCCAAATTTCAAGTCTCTAGCTTCAATAGCGCCGAAATAAACTGCGTTCATACGGACAGACGGACGGACAGCAAGACGGACATTGCACAGGACCAATATACTCATAACACTTTCGTAAATGAGTATAAAAATGTTTTGCTAAACTAAACTCAAAAAGTTTCATTTTAAGGGGTTTACCCATTATTTTCATCATGAGTGTATATATATCCTATCCAAATATACATTATTGTAAATTTTCAAGCAAATAAAGGTAATTTTAGGTCCTGAAAAACATAAAGTATATGCAAGTAATATTCTCAAACTACGTCTTTCAATTTGGACCTAAAGCTGTTAGCTGTCCAAGATCGAAGATATTATTAGACAAGGAAAGGTAATAAATAAAAGAAAGTGAAAACAGACGTTATAAATCACTTACTATATCATCGTATTTTCGCAAAAGTTATCATGCAATGCCTTCAATACAAGGACAAATAAAAAGCAATAACATTTCATATAAATTTGTTTGAAGAATATTAATTTATTGTATTTATATATATTTCATCATTTAATATATTAAGTTCTTACATCTTATTTCACTTTTTGTGATACCTACAGATTTTTTGTGAATGATTTCTTCCAATAACTTAAGAGTTTAGACTAAGAACTAGGACTTTTATACTTAGATATTAATTTACACAAATTACAGGATAAACATGACAACATGGCTTATACGATGACAAAATTATTTGAGGGGAAAATCAAAAAAATAGAACACCCCAGGATTATTTATTACAAGCTAAATAAAATTAAAACTAAACGGCAATACCATGTATATATTTCGAGTCCAATTTTATATCTGTTGTTGACACGTAGATGTCCTTCCCTTTTTTTGTGAAAAATATTGCCTTGGTTGGATAGATATACTTAGCCATAAAGTATATATATTCTTGATTAGGGCGACGAGCTGAGTCGATTTGAACGCGTCGATCTCAGAAGATATAAAAGCTAGAGCCTTGAAAATTTGTTTTCCTAGGTCCGTCTATACCACGCGCATATCGAGTTTTGCTTTAAATAGTTTTAAAATAAGTTTTAAAATGTTATCTCCTACATCCTTAAAGCTAGTCTCCATATACAATTTCGGTTTTTGTCAAAATTTACCCCCACCCCTAATTCACACCCTCACCATCACATTTGTAAAAGGCGTTTTTAAAATACTAGGGACTTGTGCTTTGGCAAATACATGCATATCTATGTTATATTCATAATTCACGAAGAAAAGTTATTAAACAATTAAGTTCCCATAGTAAGCCACCACTGCAGCCAATGCGTGTTTATGCGTGCGTGCGTATGTTTGTGTGTGCGCGTTTGTGTGTGCATGTGCGAATAATTATTGAAATATCAGTTGCTATTTGAGAGACCATAGAGAGAGAGCATAAAGAGAGACAGAGAGTGAGTAAGGGAAATAGAGCTCATAACCGTACTTCATTTGGGAACGTGTGCATTTCGTGGCAGCGGTCGCAGAGCACTGATTTTGTCGTGCTTTATTTTCACTACTTGAGCCTCAAAAGACCGAGTCGAGCAAATACGAAGTTGTCTGGTTTCTTCAGCGCATTTTTTAATCGTTGAAAAAATTTGCTCTAGATGTCTAGTCTATGTGTTCTCTGGTTAGTGATACAACGTAAATTTGAAGACTCCAGGCCTACAACTGCTCCAATTGGGTTGAAAAAACAAAGTCGATCTTTCGGATGAGTTATCCAAAGAAATAAGATAAACTTGTACTGCCTATGGTATACACGAGTATGCATGCCTATTTTTATTTTTTTCTAGCTCTTACGGACGGACGGACAGACGGGCAGGGCTATATCGATTCAGCCCGTCGTGCTGATCAAGAATATTTATACTTTATGGGGTCTGCGATGATTCCTTCTGCCTTTTACATACTTTTCATAAAACCATTGTACCCTGATTACCCATTTTCAATGGGTTCAGGGTATAAAAAAAAAATAACATCGAATCCTTTAGAATCCGCGCCACTGCTTTGCTTGATCAGCTTGTAGCTAAAATAGAATAACTTAATAACAGAGCGTCATCTGAAAAAACTACAGTAATGGCTAGAAATTCTTAGAATACGCTAAAAGGCGCACTTCTGTCTGTACGCATAGAATACACGATGAGTGTGTGCACATGTATAGGAAAATCGCGCTGATCTGCTGCTAGCTTGGAGCTGGTATCCAAAATATAATAAAAATCAAAATTGTATAATTTATATATTAACTAGCTGGCCCGGCAAACGTTGCATTGCCCTATCCATTATTTCTAGGTAAAAAATTGTTGAAAGCTATGTTGTTCAGGTTGGGATACACTCTGATTAATTTATTAATCGGATTTTAATTCAAGCACCTTGTGGTAAACGACATTCTTCGTTTTTTGGTCAGGTGCAAGATCAAATATTGCGGATGGTTTGCCAACACGATAGCATGCCACGTACAATTGACCATGAGAAAAACACGCATTTTCTAGATTGAGGCCACAAATAAAACAATGATATTCGGCAATACTTTGTTGATAAGCTCATCTATTGATGAGACGAAATTGCAAAAATTTTGAGGAAATGAAATCAAGCCACTCGATTCTTCAACAGGAATACGGTCATTACCGATATTCAGCAATTGCTTCGAGAAATCATCAGC